GTATTAGGTTATGCAAATTGTAATTGCAGGACGAGTGTCGCTGGTCCCATCAGATAAAACGTTACCCCGGTGTGGTGGAACGACGCTCTCTGACAGCTCCGGCCGTGGCGAACACGGGTGAGCGATATGGCGCGATATCCCGGTTAAAACGCTACCTTCTGCGTTCCGATACGCGATACAGTGTTGTTGCTTATCGCCCGTCGTTAAGCAACGAGAGGAAGGATTAATGCGCGACGAGGTGACTCGAACGAGGGGAGAGGACAGCGCGAAAACTCGCCGGCGAAAATGTCCGCGCAGATATCCCGGGTGCGGTTATTTAAAGGCGCGAGTTCACGCGGAATTTTCGTCAGCGTATAATTAATAAGTGAGCGACGACCGCGGCGCTCTTTGTGCGCCGCGTCTTTACCCGCTCGAGGAACGAGTCGACTATACGCGACTATACGTACTCGCGTTCTCGACGATGCTGTGGGTAGACGAAACGCCGAGAGGGCGAGAGAGGAGGAGGCTCTCCGGTGTGAGGGTCGAGGAGAAAAGAGAAGGCGAAGAAGCGCGGCAGGCTAACCTGAAACAGTAGTAGTGACCCCCGGGGCTGAGCAGGCCCAAACAAGAAGTCCCTTCTGACGTCACCGGCAGGTGCAAGCCGAAGTGCATCCTCGTCTTGCCGCGCCCGCTCCACCACTCGCTCCCCCAACCTTTCCGCCTTCCTCGGCTTCTTTTTCTACTTCCTCCTCGCGCACTCGCGTGTAATCGTGCCGATTTCGAGATCGAGATAACTCGGCACTGTGTGCGCACGGCGCCCACCGTGAATCCGGTTGGTTTCGTTGAAAATTTCTGACACGTACGTTACTCGGCCGCGCTCGTTCTCGCGGGGCTTTAATTAATGGTTTCCTTTGTGGTTCATTGAGTCGGCTGCGGATAAATTGGCGAGGTGATTGCAACAGGCGAAACAAAGGACTCCGTGTTTCGTAACGCGTCCAGGGCAAGTTTTGAGCTTCGACTTGCTCTTCGAAAATGTGAACATTCCCTTATTGCCGTAATTATATTCGGCTTAACATTCGGATTTTTAACATTTCGATCGAATAATTCGTTCATTTCGCTGAGATCTCGGGAGGGGGGGGGGGTTTGTTTTAATTTAATGTGATAAATATCTTCGCTTCGCCTCGTAGGATAAATGGCCACGCCACGAGACAAATTACGCAGAAAAGTGCGGGGAAACGCGCTTTGTTACTGGAAACTCGATTCTAATTTAATCTACATCATCTTGAGGATGATGCGTTACACCGAAAGGCGATACGTTCCATCGACGGGACGTCTTGCGATCGGTATTAATGAAATAGCCGACGAAGAAGGCGCGTTCCACGGATTTAATGCCCCTTCGGCACCGCCCGTAAGTGGAACGACGAAATCCGAACGAGCCGTCGCATCGTCGGCTCTCGCTTCGTCTCGAGTGGTGTTCGCGCGGTACGGAAACAGCGGAATTCGGCGTCGATCTTAAAATCTGGAAATGGAGACCTCGTGGTCGTTTCGTCGGCTGTTAAACAGCCGCGAAAGTTACGCATTTCGCGCAATCCTTCGCGGTATCCTCTCGTTACGCCATCAGAGGGAAATCGTCCTCGAAAAGCCGATTATCTCCAGCTGTTGACCGACGTGAAGAAAGGGAGGAGGATGACGGACGAGGAGGGTGCGTCTCGAGAGAGGACGGCACTAAAAAAGAGGAGCGTCCTCGTCTGCGGCCCGGAGCGAAAAGTGGTCCAGCGACTACCGTATCTGTTTTTTGTTTCTCTCTTTTACGGGGTGGTAATCGTTTTCGGTAGGTAGACGCCGTTCCCAGATGGAGATCTTTTTCATTGGAATTTTATCTCCCGCTTTTATTACAAAGCATGCTTTACGTCTGCATCAATTAAGCGAACGTT